TATCTACAGTGTAACATGGATTGTTACCTTTGCATTGATTGCCTACTTTAGTAAAGTGGACATTTCAATAGGTTGGTGACTACACTTATTTATAATTCTGTTTTTATCAGAGCAGTTCCACCATCATCAACCAGGTTCCTTGGCCTTGCTGTCAGACATAGTTGAGATTCAGTGTGATTGGTGTAAGACCAGACAGCCATCTCTAAGACTACACCACTGCAATCACAGGCTTCTAGCATACACAAGAGCTGGGCTAGTAGTACAATCAACCCTATGTACCGAAGCCCTCAGACTCATCATGTCTGCTTCTCCTCCTAGACCACCATTTACTCCATCTTCAGACATACTTCAGAAGAATACTCTCGCTCTAACTCAAATAGTATCCATGTCCTCAGTAGCCCCTATCTCAAGAATAAACCTCTTCCACCAGAGGCGGCTGGTGGGAGGAGTTATAGGAGGACGGGCTCATTATAATGGCTGGAATGAAACGGTATGAAAAATATGGAAACCACGTTTGACTCCATTCCATTAATTCCATTCCAGCCATTACAATGAGCTCGTCCTCCTATAGCTCCTCCCACCAGCCTCCTCTGTCTTCCACCAATTGCAATAGAGTGTGTTCCACTTATAGACATTGGGGCAAATACTAACTTCCACTTAAGTCGAATTTTCACTTAGTCATCCATTGACATCACTATACGACTAAGTGAACATTTGACTTAAGTGGAAATTAAGATTCACCCAGTTATGGACATAAAAATGAATAGTGGCCAAAGTAGGTAGAGCAGTCACTTACCAATACTTACAATTGACATAGCTTTTAGTGTACTAGTAATAGCTGTAAAAGTAGCCACTTTAGGTAACAGGTGTGTGGGGGATTGAAGTGCAAGCAGAACTCCTTCGAGGTGCTATAATTGTTTTAGTGTGTGTGCGTAGTGCCTCTGTGCGCTGTTTGTCTATGTTTATCAAGAGGCGCCTGTTGGCTAAGCCAGACCCAGACAGTGTGGGGAAACACTCCAATGTCAGATGTCTTGATTAGCTCATCGGCTGTTTATACGATATGGCTGCCTCTCTCTACAATCAGAATATCTAGAAATGAAAACAATGTTTTTAATGGCAAACCACTGTGAGACCTGAAATCATAAACTTGACTCCAGCAACTCCCTCTTTCGGATGTCTTTCATTACTCTAACTGTTTACCAAAAAACACATTTGTGAGGATGTATGACAATACAGTTACTATCAGGATCAATAGCAGATACATACCGTAGACCTTGGCCAGCAGACGAGACACTATCCACTCTCCTTCCCATTCTGTATGGATCCAATCGCTCCAACACAAACAAGAGGAAATAAAGAAAAATACAGAGTCTGTACAAGTAAGTGCTCACCAGGAAGATATGGCATGAATACACTTACATTTAACATGGGCTCTCCAGAGAATGGACGTTTTGTTACTTTTTTTTTTATCCCTAAAGTTGTTTTATACACATCTACAGAAAGAGTCATTTGTACATGGTCCTTTGTACATTTACTTCCAGGTCAAAATTCATTCCGGATTGTCCATGTGACCCCTCAGCATTGGGGAAAGAAACAAAAAGGTGTCTTTATGTTTTGTCCTCCAGAGGGCTAGGTGGCGCTGTAGAGAATCTACAGTATATGACCATCTCCATCACAATCCAGTCCACAAAAACGTCATCTATGCCAAAAAGGGCAAGCAGAGAGAGTTTTGTGCATACATATTCATACACGTCACCTTCAATATGAAGATTTATTCAGAAGATATATTCATATTTAGTTAGAGACATACATATTTATATATATTCTCAGAATCTGGGCGAGGCCGTTTCACTAGTCCTTTGGCAAGGCCATCAGCCCAGACATCCACAGGTAGTGTTAAAGTGAAAACATGGAAGAGAAGTCCGTTCCCTGCTTTCATGGTGAAGAAAATGAATACAATCTCAACAAAATGTCAGAGAAGCTCTCCTTTCCAGCCAGTTCAACTTCGGTCGACCTTGAGGAGATCTCAAAAATGTCCAAAGTTTCAAATGAAAATATATAACGTGAGAAAAATGTAAAATCACACATACACCACTGTATGTCTCTGTATCATTTTCCGTATGTGTATATTGATCATGTATGTAGAGGTTGAATTGCTTTCTATCTACGCACATTTCATACCGCTGCTCCTAGACAGACCAATGCATCCTCATTTCAGTCTTTGAAGAAGGCCTGGGTCAAATGACAAATCAGAGGCCTTCTGATGACATGAGCTGAATGCCAAATCACTCCTTCCCCTTGCCCCTCCATTTGAGTGGTCACGCACACTTCCGCCATATGCACAACAAAAGAATGGAAAGGCGTGCCTAATTACAGTTGAAGTCGGAAGTTTACATACACTTAGGTTGGAGTCATTAAAACTCATTTTCAACCACTCCACAAATTTCTTGTTAACAAACTATAGTTTTGGCAAGTCGGTTAGGACATCTACTTTGTGCATGACACAAGTAATTTTTCCAACAATTGTTTACAAACAGATTATTTCACTTATAATTCACTGTATCACAATTCCACTGGGTCAGAAGTTGACTGTGCCTTTAAACAGCTTGGAAAATTCCAGAAAATGATGTCATGGCTTTAGAAGCTTCTGATAGGCTAATTGACATCATTTGAGTCAATTGGAGGTGTACCTGTGGATGTATTTCAAGGCCAACCTTCAAACTCAGTGCCTCTTTGCTTGACATCATGGGAAAATCAAAAGAAATCAGCCAAGACCTTCCGTTTTTTTTAATTTTTTTGACATCCACAAGTCTGATTCATCCTTGGGAGCAATTTCTAAACGCCTGATGGTACCACGTTCATTTATACAAACAATTGTACGGAAGTATAAACACCATGGGACCACGCAGCCGTCATACCGCTCAGGAAGGAGACGCGTTCTGTCTCCTAGAGATGTATATATTTTGGTGCGAAAAGTAAAAATCAATCCCAGAACAACAGCAAAGGACCTTGTGAAGATGCTGGAGGAAACAGGTACAAAAGTATCTATATCCACAGTAAAACGAGTCCTATATCGACATAACCTGAAAGGCCGCTCAGCAAGGAAGAAGCCACTGCTCCAAAACCGCCATAAAAAAGCCAGACTACGGTTTGCAACTGCACATGGGGACAAAGATCTTACTTTTTGGTCTGATGAAACAAAAACAGAACTGTTTGGCCATAATGACCATCGTTATGTTTGGAGGAAAAGGGGGGTAGCTTGCAAGCCGAAGAACACCATCCCAACCGTGAAGCATAGGGGTGGCAGCATCATGCTGTGGGGGTGCGTTGCTGCAGCAGGGACTGGTGCACTTCACAAAATAGATGGCATCTTGAGGAAGGAAAATTATGTTGATATATTGAAGCAACCTCAAGACATCAATCAGGAAGTTAAAGCTTGGTCGCAAATGGGTCTTCCAAATGGACAATGACCCCAAGCATACTTCCAAAGTTGTGGCAAAATGGCTTAAGGACAACAAAATCAAGGTATTGGAATGGCCATGACAAAGCCCTGACCTCAATCCTATAGAAAATCTGTGGGCAGAACTGTAAAAGCGTGTGCGAGCAAGGAGGCCTACAAACCTGACTCAGTTACACCAGCTCTGTCAGGAGGAATGGGCCAAAATTCACCCAACTTATTGTGGGAAGCTTGTGGAAGGCTACCCGATACGTTTGACCCAAGTTAAACAATTTAAAGGCAATGCTACCAAATACTAATTGAGTGTATGTAAACTTCTGACCCACTGGGAATGTGATGAAAGAAATAAAAGCTTAAATAAATCATTCTCTCTACTATTATTCTGACATTTCATATTCTTAAAATAAAGTGGTGATCCTAACTGACCTAAGACAGGTGATTTTTACTAGGATTAAATGTCAGGAATTGTGAAAAACTGAGTTTAAATATATTTGGCTAAGGTGGATGTAAACTTCCGACTTCAACTCTATGTGCCACGTGCAATTGTTTATGTCTGATTTCAAGACACGTAACAGATGAAATACCTCCCAAATGAAATGTGTAACTGTTACTGAGGTTAATATCTTATAAAATGACCAGGGGGATTTGTAAATTTCTCACTGGGCACATACGTCAGTTCAACATAATTTTTTTATTTACATTTGGTTGTTCTCAACTAACGTGAATTCAACGTGAAATCAACAAAAAATGTCACCATGACATTGGATTTAGGTTCAAAGTTCGGTGAAAAAAATATGGAATTCCCTTATGTTGATTACTTTTGCAAATCCAATCAGTTTTCCACGTTAATTCAACATCATCACATTTATTGTTGAAATTACGTGGAAACAACGTTGATTCAACCAGTTTTTGCCCAGTGGGTTGAATTTCATGCTTGTTTTATTATTTAAAAGTGGAACATGAATTGTCACGAGTATGTCCCGAAGTTGATGGGTTTATTGATCCCCTGGCCACTCTCTGGAAGTCACCCTCTGAGTTCCGTCAGCAACACATGACAACGGAGGGCCCTCTGAACGAGTTGGTAAGGGAGAGGGGGTGGTTTGGGATTCACCAATGAACTTCCTCTTCAAAATGGCTTCCACTTGGTCCTCCTCTCCAGTCTAATATCATCCAGTCAAGACTCCATCACTGTGTCAGCCTGTGGTTGTCGTGAGGTTAGATTACAGTACAGTACGATGATATTACATACTGTAGAACTCACAGATTAAGATTTGAAAAAAACTGTCTCTGAACACATTGAACTCTACATCATAACTCAGTATAACTCAGATTAGTGGAAGGTGATAGTTAGTCTTCGTCTGGACCCTGGCCTCCTGGGTAATGATGTTTGATTATATGTTCGATGGGATTAGATGAGAATGATAGTCTCGACCCTGGCACGTTCCGACGGGTCGGGGGTCATTCGGTGAGGGGTGTAGTCCTTTCTGCCGTAGTCCCTGCCAGCCCGAATGATGCCCGCCCCGTGGCACGGCGCCCCCTCCAGTCATGCCATGGCAGTGGGCGACTGGCATTGGCTCATCTGCACCCGCATGGAGGCGACGTTACTGAGGATCTTCTTCTGGTGGCCCGCCAGGGTCACACCTATCCTCAGGAGGTCTCTGGTGATGGGGAGGGAGGGAGACAGGAAGAGAGGGATAGGAAGAGGGAGGGAGAAGGAGAGAGAGAGAGCAAGAGAGGAAATACATCAGTATTGCTTCTGCAATGCCTCAACTGTGTGTGCTGAAGAAGCAAGTACATAAACAAACATTAATTTGGTCTCTAATACATTTACATATATAACCAAAGCCCCAAATAATTAATTTCAGGATGGTTAGCCACTGGCTGTGAAGGAGAAAACAACAAACACATATTCCATTAACTTTGTCTGCCTCTCAGTGATCAAGCTTTTGTTCTCTTTGATTGACAATTAAAACCATGTCGCTACATTTTTGAAACAACATTTTGAAGCCAGGAAGATTTCTTAGGGCCAATATTTGGACAGGATCGTTTTAAATGAGATGTGTGTGTACATGCATGCTTGCTCACATAAGTGTGTCTGTGTATGTGTGTATGTGTGTTTGTGCATGCATGTACATCTGTGAATGCTTGTGTGTGTGTGTGTACGCAAGACTGCATGCGTGTGAGAGCCTGCATGAGTCTGTGCATGCTTGCTCACATGTGTGCACGTGTGTGTGTACTTCTGTGCATGTGTGTGTATGTGTTCGACTCACTCAGATGTAATCTGTGCCACCAGTTGCAGGGAGGTGAAGCCAGAGTTGAGGAAGTTATCTCTGTACTGGGTCATCTTGATGGCTCCCAGCCACTCCTCCACTGAACTGAAGGTGTTGAAGTCTGGGATAGAATGATCCAACAGGGTCTGGGAAGGCCTGGAGGAGGAGAGGAAGAGTAAGTAAGAGAGAGAGAGAGAGAGCTTTGATGGTGGTGTGCAGGGAGGTTTAGACTTTGATGTTATATAAAGTAATAAACTACATATACATTAATGTATGCTACACTTACACTGCAGGGATGCTTGCCACTTGTTTGAGACTGGCTGGGTTGCGGATCATCTTGTCCAGGGTGTTGACGATGTCAGTGAAGCGTGGCCGGGCGTTACGGTCCTTCTGCCAGCAGTCCAGCATGAGCTGGTGCAGGGCTGAGGGGCAGTCCATGGGAGGGGGCAGCCGGTAGTCCTGCTCTATGGCATTGATCACCTGGGGATGGAGAGGGTGGGCAGAAGGTCACAAGGTAGTCAGTCAGGGTCATGTTAGGCAGCACTATTGTGGAGACGGCAGTAGGTGGTGAGTGGAAGGTAGTCATTAGAAGTTGATCTAGATATGGGTCTAATCTCGCTCATGGCGATAAGATAGATGAGGTCAGTAGAAAACCATTGCCAGACAGGACCATTGGGAAGGCCAATTGCGAAAAGATCTGAGGGTAGTCACTAAACGTATGATCAAAGGAGATCAATAATGTGTAGTCTGCTAAATGATGTAAATGTAAATGTAGTAAAGCAGAGAATTGTGAGAAAAAGCTGATGTTTGTAGAGGTTTTTATGTTTCCCTTTCACTTTCCCCTCTTCCTCTAGACCCCTGTGCCGCCAGGCCCTAGTTGTTCCGTCTCATTTTGTGCTATTGAGTGGTTAGTGAGCAATTCACTCAGCGTCTCCTTTATAAAAAAATATATATATAAAAAAACAATGTGAAAAAAAGTGTTTTTCTGACAAGTTTTTTTTTTTTTCATGTAAAATTTTCACAAGACAGATCTGGTTTTCGGACACGTGAAGTTTCGCATGTACATTTTTCAAATGTTTCCTATGTTGTCTAAGGTCTAAGGTCCCTCCCAATGTGTTCTCCAATCTCATAAAACAGTTTAGAAAAAGGCTCAGTACCTTTATCCTCGCAAGGTGAGGTATTGAAAGGTATAATGTTGACCCCTATCTTTTGGAGAGAAAAAAATATTATGTACTTGTTAAACAAAATCTCCTTCTCTGAGCAATTGTATTAGTATAAAATAATAATATAATAATAATAATAATAATAATAATAATAATAATAATAATAATAATACAAAAATTACCATACAATATAGCTCAGTATTTGTATTATGTATTTTATACAGTCTTTTATGCTCATCTTTATCAAGGGTGCCAATAATTATGGACATGACTGTATAATCTGACACTGCGGGAATGTGACTTGGGAATAGGCTTATTGCATATACAGTACAGTAACTATGGAAAGAGTAGTGCTGTCTCGCTCTATAAATAATAATAATAATATGCCATTTAGCAGACGCTTTTATCCAAAGCGACTTACAGTCATGCGTGCATACATTTTTGTGTTTGGGTGGTCCCGGGGATCGAACCCACTACCTTGGCGTTACAAGCGTCGTGCTCTACCAGCTGAGTAGCATGTTCATATGGTATACCATATGATGGATTGTTAACCCTTGTATGTAGAAGCAATCTTTCAAATTAAACGGTTGAATCAGGGCAAAGTCAGGAAAAGCCGATATGGGATAGAGATTGCAGGGTGTGAAAATGAATTATCATCAGAAATGGGAAGATGCTCTATAGGTGCCCATGCTACCACTGAGACTAGTTTAATTCAGCAGAATCTTGACAAATTGTGCATATGGGGAAGTGTGTGTGTGTGTGTGTGTGTATGTGAGTGCATGTACATGCATGTGCGAGTGGGCATGTGTATGTATGTGTATGAGCACACAGACTTGTGTATTTGTGTGTATGTCAGTGCATCATTTTTGTGTGCTTTTGTGTGCATACTGCATGTGCGTGCGAGTGTGTGTGTGTGTGTGTGTGTGTGTGTGTGTGTGTGTGTGTGTGTGTGTGTGTGTGTGTGTGTGTGTGTGTGTGTGTGTGTGTGTTATTAATGTACACAGCAGGGTTTACGTTAGGAAAATGTGGTTCCGCACAATTGACCGGCAACATTTTAATTTACCGGACATTTGAGAAATGTACCGGACCCATATGTATTGGCTGTGTAACCTGATTAGGGCGTCCATCCCCGGTGCTCAGAATGACAGAAATCACATTTAGGATATGGTAATTCATATTAACAGAACATGCAAGTCGAGGATGCAATGATGTGCTGTCCTTATTACCGAATTCTGATGTGCACTTTGAAGATGTTAGAATAACTGTCCACATTTACTTTTCCTCAGCCAACAAGATGAGTAACGAACAGGAAAATCACTAGCCTATGTCAATCTACTATAGTAGAAAAGTTTAGGCTACCTTTTCTATTAGTCAGCTTATCGAGAATGAAATAGCCTATTCCAAACAGACTCTGGGACAGTTGTAGGACGATAGATCGCAAATACATACAACCAGTAGGCCTAGGCTACATGAAAAAGCTTGATCCTGCAACAGAATGTTGATAAACTATTATTTATTCACATTATAAGTGCAGCAACGCGCACAATGCAGTAGGCTAAGCGCGAATGTTCGTTCCATAATACAATTACCGGGAAAACACCGTTGTCAAAAGGACACTGCACATGCGACAGTGATGAAAATATCTGTTAGACATTTAGAAAGAGAGGAGATCTTATCTGCTACTTTGAAGCAAGGTATGACATGCCTTAAAATATGTATTAAAACGTTCAGGTTTCAAACAATTAAGTACCGTAATTTTCGGACTATAAGCCGCGCCTTTTTCCCCATTTTTTGACCCTGCGGCTTATACAACGGTGCGGCTAATCTATGGATTTTTACAGCTAACGGCCACTAGAAGACCTCCTAAATCTATGGATTTTACAGGTTACAGTCCACCAACTTTAACTCTATGGGCTCTATGACCGGTCCGCGCCCCCCACCTTTAAGCGGCGGGCTCCAGCAGGAAAAGCTGGAGGCCGGAAAAGAGTGAGACAGGTAGCGCGCAAAAGTAAAAGTGGAACTGAGAGTGCTACGAGAGACAGAACGAGAGACAGAACGAGAGCAAGACAGACAGACATTACGAGAGCGAGACAGTTTGTCTCTTTCCCGACAATCCCCTCTGTGCACGAACCCTTACATATGGTAATTAAACATTAAAACACCTGCGGCTTATAGTCCAGTGCGGCTTATATATGTACACATCATTCAATATCATTCAATTTAGCTGCTGCGGCTTATACTCCGGTGCACCTTATAGTGCGGAAAATACGGTATATGTTTTCAAAATGCATACTGCCTCCAACTTATTGCAAAGTGGTTTGTGACGCACTGATGAAGCCTGCCTTTCGTTGCCGTTTGATGCCAAGTTCAAAACAACTGGGAACTCGGAAATCTCAGACTTCCGACTTTAATCTCAGACTTCCGACTGAGAAAAAACCGTTTTGAACGGTCATCCAACTCGGAATTCCAACTCGGGAACTCGGGCCTCTTTCTAGAGCTCCATCTTTCCGACCTGAAGATCACTGACGTCATTATTTGACCTCGTATTTCCCAGTTGTCTTGAAAGCACCACAAGATGCTGCAGCAGCAGCTCTTGCGCTGTTTGACAGATTTTCCACTCAAAGGCTCTGTATCTGTATGCTGTAGGCGTGTGATAAATAAGATAGCCTACATAACGAATATATTGTACACGCAGCAATTTAATTCCACTAAATTATGCAAATGTCCCTATAGAACGATAAGCATGACCAGTCAAATGTATTTCCATCAGTGAATAGGCTAAAAAGCATTATTTCGCAATTGCCGGCGCCAACTTTTTTATCAGCTTTTTTTTTTTAAATTACTGAAAAAAGCCGGCTAACAGAAACCCTGGTACACAGATATGTGTGTGTGTGTGTCCTGACTGAAGAGAACAGCAGGCCATGCTGTGAGCAGTGCCAGGCCTCCTCCCTGAGTGTGTGTCTCACCAGTCGATGCCTGCATGCTGTCCCAGAGAGAGAGTTGGCGGCTGTGGATATGGAGCTCATTGGTGTGTGTGTTTGTATTGGGGGGGGGGGATCTCTTCATTGTCAAGGACATTTCCAGTGGGAATTCACAATTGTCATATTAACGGTACAAATGTTGACACAACTGAGTTGTTATGTGTTTGAGAGGGTTCCATTCTATGACACAACATTACATACTAGAAGGTTCACCTTTTATCTGAATGCACATACATTGTAAAAAGGGCTTTCTAAATTAATTTGATTGATTGAAATTTGATTGATCTGAATATTTATATTTACTTAAAACAATAAAGTTCAAAAGTTCAACATGACAATAATACTCACATCCTGGTTAGACATGTCCCAGTAGGGTCTCTCTCCGAATGACATCACCTCCCACATGACGATGCCGTAGCTCCACACGTCACTAGCTGAGGTGAACTTCCTGTAGGCTATGGCCTCTGGAGCTGTCCACCTCACTGGGATCTTACCCCCCTGAGCGAGAGGGGGAGAGAGGGGGAGGGATAGGGAGGGGAAGGGGGATGGATAGAGAGAGAGGGTGGAGAGTGACAGAGAGAGGGTAGAGAGAGAGATAGAGAGAGGGTAGAGAGAGAGAAGGGTAGAGAGAGAGAGGGTAGAGAGAGACAGAGAGAGGGTAGAGAGAGATAGAGAGAGGGTAGAGAGAGAGAAAGGGTAGAGAGAGAGAGGGTAGAGAGAGACAGAGAGAGAGAGAGTAGAGAGAGAGAGGGTAGAAAAAGAGAGAGAGAGAGAGAGAGGGTAGAGAGAGAGAACGACATGATTAGTCCAATACATAAATAAAAAATCATCATTCCAAACCAAAAGACAACTGCAACCCCTCCATCCCTCCACTCCGATTTTCCCCCATCTCCCTATCGATCCAGCGGCAAGGGATTGTAACTCTGCCCCCCTTCTTAATATGATCTGCCCTTCATACATCGACCCACACCACGTCTCTCCCGTCTGAGTTTGAATAAATGGGGATTTGGTTGGGGTTTGAGTGCGCCTGTTGAGCGTGTCTGTTTGTAATTGGACTACCTGGGCCTGGGGCGAGTCATGCATGGATCTGATTGAAATTGCCGGGTGGCTTGTTTAAGATTCCCTCAACACACACTCACCTGTTTGTGGACCACTTGGTGGTTTCCATTGTATCCGGCCAGGCTAGGCCAGCTTAATAATGCCAGTTAGTTCAACCTGTGAATGTCTAGATAAGTCGGGCTTGAAAGGAGAGACGGGAGAGCGAGACAAGGCCCACCCTGCTCTCCTGGCTTTTTCCCTCAGGACCGAGAGGTGTTTTGTGTGTGTGTGTGTGTGTGTAGATGCGTGCATGTGTGCATGTGTGCATGTGTGTCATCTGGTTTTTGCTTGTGTGTGGCTGTATGTGCATGCACAAGCATCAGTGAATGTGTGCGTGTATGTGTGTGTGTGCGTGCGTGTGTGTGTGTGTGTGTAGAAATCCAGAGGACTCAAACTCAGCTCATTAAGGCCCAGCTCTGAGTGTTTGACCTCTGGGAGCTCCTGACCCTGAACATGATGTTAACCTCTGACCTCAGTGAAGGCTGGTGTCAGGGTGCATGGGCCGGGAATACAGGCCTGAGCTGTTACAGAACAGGGAGGTGGAGGGAGGGAGGGAGGGAGGGAGGGAGGGAGGGAGGGAGAGAGAGAGAGAGAACGAGCGAGAGAGAGAGAATGAGAGTGTGTGTGTGTGCCTAAGAAAGGAAAACAGTATTTTATCTAAGAGAGAGGGTTCTGGAGGGTTCATATGGAAGTAAGTGTGTATTTGTGTTTCTTTGAGAAAAAGAAGAGTGAGTGATATCCATCTAAGGTCTGATGACTTCTCTGCTTTTCTCATATCTCTTCTTAAAGTATCTGATCCCAGACACCAAAAGGCTTTCTCTTGTCTAAGTTCTGTCTCAGCTCTGTGTCAAGGCTATAGAAAAATACATGAAACTCCATCCACACCAATGAAAATAAAGACCAGGCTCTCATCTCTAACTTTGTCAGAGCCATGCTTCAAGGCGACTATTTCAACTTGGACACACACACCAAATGAAAAGAACTACAATACATATAATTAAGTATGAAATAACAAAACACTGCCTCTTCCATGTTCCTCTCTCAGAGCTGTGATCTTAATGCTTTGTATTATAGCCTCTCTTGATCATCCCCCTCTTTTCATCTCTCTCTCTCTCTCTCTCTCTCTCTCTCTCTCTCTCTCTCTCTCTCTCTCTCTCTCTCCTCTCTCTCTCTCTCTCTCTCTCTCTCTCTCTCTCTCTCTCTCTCTCTCTCCATACATCTGTTCTCTCGCTCTCTCGCCCCGGGACCCTGGGGGGATATGAGCTCTGTCGTCGCCGTGACCTGGGTAAAGATGCTAGCCGTACAAGAGCTCCGTGCCTCCCTGCTTCGCTTTGCACTGGTCCTAGCAGAAAGGCCAAGGTAATAACATTTTCACGGCTGCCACGTCCACGAGGCAGCTATGCAGATCATTAGTAATTATCGCTGTGGGCGAGCTATCTGCTAGCAGCCAGGTCAAAACGACACTTTAATAACACAAAGTGCTGCAGAACAGAACAAGCCGGACAGGCAAACAGACAGAAGAAGGCAAATATATAATAAAAGCATTGGATGCAGTGGAGGCTGCTGAGGGGAGAACGGCTCATAATAATGGCTGGAACGGAGCGAATGGAATGGCATTAAACACATGGAAACCATGGAAACCATGTGTTTGATGTATTTGATGCCATTCCACTGATTCCACTCCATTACCACGAGCCCGTCCTCCCCAATTAAGGTGCCACCAACCTACTGTGATTGGATGTTTTTTTCTTTATTAACTCAGGAGGAGAAAAGAGAGAGAATACCCCAGGGAGGGAGAGAGGGAGGGGGGAAGAGAGGAGAGGGGGAGGGAGGATGGGAATTAAAACGGGTCTAGTGTCAACACAGCCAAACAGACACTTTGTGAGCCTAGGAGAATGGAGAGAGAATGTGTGTGTGGATGTGTGTGTGTGTGTGTGTCTGAGCCAGAAAGCCATTTCATTCACAAGGCCGACAGTACAAGCCAGTAAGAAAGGAAGATGCTGTTCTCTGTGGTGGCCTTGAGTCTTAGAGAGCACTCACAGACTTATGCCTTCATGTAAAACAACTACACAAGCTGAACGATACAACAACCTCCAGCCAAGCTCCATCAATCTCTTCAGCTAGCTGCTCATCACATAAAGAATATGCATAATGCATTTCATTGAGAAATCTTAATGTCAGCATGAGAGCATAATTGTTGTTCTCTCACGACCCTTTAGAAACAACATTATATATACAAAGGGACTCCACAAAACAACAACAAAACAATAACAACAACAACAGTGATATACTTGATTATTGCAGACCTGCCATACTTAGAAAAGGAGTTTCACAATGACTCTCACTTCAAACAGACAAGTTACCTCCAGATCACCTTCAAGTCAACAAGATGAGCTGAGACAAAGTGATTGGTCTTGACTAGATGTGACAGCTTGTAACAGGTTGTGACCCGTTGTGACAGGTAAAGTGACAGGTGTAGTGGCACATCTGGGGTAGACCTGCTGGGAGCAGAGCGGGCAGAGTGCTGTCAGGGTTAAGGAGGATCATGGGACGTGGTGGATGGTGTGGCGTTTTGTGACAGACAGGTGCAGAGTGTGTGTGTTTGGAGGAGCTCCCTTACACACGACACACACATGACATGTGGGAAACATGGGACAACTGCCATTGCTACAGTAACGTGTACTATGATAGATGCAGTATGTGTCCAGCAATTCAACAGAGTATGTCACTGGCGATCTATAGACTGAAGGGGAATCTAAAGTGTCAAATGGCAGTGTGTATCACTCTAAACAAACTGGAGCAATGCCCTGCCCTGGTGTCCCAGGAAACGTAGGCTAAATACCCTGCAAGCTCTTCTCCCACTGAACTCCTCAATCCTCTAACTCTCTGTGTTTTGTTTTTCATTGCTGATGCATGCAACCTCTGCCACTCCATCTCTCTAAGATATATCAATGAGTACCATCATGTTTTTCTTAAAGTAGCAGCTGTCCCCAAATGCAGATTCATTCCCCCCTGGTGGAAGACAAATCTGTGAACTCCCAGTAATGCAGCAGACACACAGCACTCTGGCCAAACTTCTATGTGATCCATTCCTAAACAATGCACACTCAAATGGTCCCGAGCACATTTACTTAGGCTAGGCAAAGTGCTCCATCAACTGCCGTTTATGTCCTGAAAGCAACGATTGCTGGGCAGTCTGCCCAAAAAGAGTAGAGAGAGGGAGAGGGGGAGAAAGAGAGAGAGAGAGAGAGAGAGAGATGAGATAGATATATATAGAGAAGAGAGAAGATATAGACGAGAGAGATCTAGAATCTAGAGTAAGAGATAGAAGAGAGATCTATCCTATAGCTATATCTTTTCGTTGTTTTGTTTCTCTTCGCCCTCTCTCATCTCCGCTCTCTCTCTCTCTCTCTCTATATATATATATTCATATATCTCTCTATATATTATATTCCTATATCATTTAAGTATCTTATCATCTCTGATCTCCGCGGTCTCTCAGCGTCCTGCACATCCCAGGGACTGTCTGGGAGAGGCGGGCCCTTCTACAGTTCCACTGTCTAAAGCGCAATGGAGAATAGGTTAAAACGTCAAGGGAAGTTATATTTGACTCCATGGAACTATTTCAGGCATCATTTCACAAAGTGCCCACATACAGTATTCTACTGCTATTTATTTCAATTATGTAGTTTAGTGTAGGAGTCATATGAGTCTATGACACACAGGTGGTCTCAAAGTGGTATTAAATCCGACCTTTGATAAAAGTTGTCTGTGTAGTCTTTTGCAGTTAACATATTCCTTCAGCTCTTCAACTCGATGACACCACTTCTGCTTAATAGAAATGCCCCCTCCCCTTGTGCAACCTCTATCTGGGCCACCGATGACTCAGGGGCCACCAGGGGCCCCTCAAATTAAACCCAGCGTGAATCCTACGTTATTATCATTTATTTTTGCACATCCTTGTTAGGCTTTTTCAGAGGTTTAATATTAGACTACGACCTTGGCTTGTGTAACCGGGTGACATCTTTATTCTGTCCCCTTGAGATGACTCTAAGAAGTTGGAAAATAGGCAATTACAGCTCACAGCACACAGACTAATCACATAACAGATTGCTTGGGTTGTTTAAACAAGAACTGATGTGTCTCTACTCGTGTCAATGGGCGGCAGGTATTATAGCAGCTAAGAGCGTTGGCCCAGTAACCGAAAGGTCACTGGTTCAAATCCCCGAGCCGACTTGGTGAAAAATCTGTCGATGTGCTCTTGAGCAAAGCACTTAACCCTAATTGCTACTGTAAGACACTCTGGATAAGAGCGTCTGCTAAATTGTAAATAATGTAACTGTGTCACAGCGTTTTCTCTTCCCAGGAACTAGCATGCTGTGACCCTCTGTCTCTCTCTCTTTGAGGAGCCATTGCGCAAAAACTAGAGAAGAATCTGACATCTAATTTAATCTGTAGTAGCTCGCAGTTATACTAACTGACGGACTGGCCAGCAACTTCCCATGATTGTCCAATGTCAGTCTATGGACTGAGGTCAGTGTTGTGACAAAATCCATCTCCCACATTACATTTCGTCCCCCCTTCAGTGTGCTATGTAGAGGATCACCATGTCTGAATCATGCTCTGCATCCATACAGGCACAGAATGCCCACCTCAGTCATAGACAGCAGCTTGATCTGTCACACATGACAGGAGGTATAAATCAAGCATGAAAACACATGGTTTCCCTAGACGCCATGTTCCCGCTTTGATAAAGGAGTCTAGGTGGACCAAATGGCAACTTTTCTCAGAGTTTTTCCACTTCTTTTTCACTTCTTTACTCAAGGATGCGTTCCCCTGAAGTCCCCTGTAACTTTTGCCACATCAATATTTCACACCAGTGACAAACAACACAAAAGGCTTTGGGTGGTATGCCAAAGGGAGAGAAGGGTAGGAGAAGGGTAGGAGAAGGGTAGGAGGAAAGGATGCAAATAGAAAACAACGAACAGAAACAGAGGGTGGATAGAAGGTAGCGGAGCGGAGAGAGCAAGAATGTCAGTGAGGTCGCGGGGGTTTGATGGATGAAGTATGTTACTGGGCTGTGGGTGACCTCGCCTCTCAACCCCTTGCCCTCTTTGATGCAGCCTCAAAGACACACACACCCATTCAAGTGTGCGCACACACAAAAGAGTGCGTACACACACAGGCGAGCATGAAGACACATGGAAGCATATAAACAATCCTCTCTTAGCCTCCACAGACACACACACACACACACAAAACCCTCTCAGTCTCAACATAAAACGGAAGGCAATCTGTCCCACATATACAGTGAGGGAAAAAAGTATTTGACCCCCTGCTGATTTTGTACGTTTGCCCACTGACAAAGAAATGATCAGTCTATAATTTTTATGGTAGGTTTATTTGAACAGTGAGAGACAGAATAACAAAAAATAACAAAAAAAGCAACTAATGTCAAAAATGTTATAAATTGATTTGCATTTTAATGAGGGAAATAAGTATTTGACCCCCTCTCAATCAGAAAGATTTCTGGCTCCCAGGTGTCTTTTATACAGGTAACGAGCTGAGATTAGGAGCACACTCTTAAAGGGAGTGCTCCTAATCTCAGCTTGTTACCTGTATAAAAGACACCTGTCCACAGAAGCAATCAATAAATCAGATTCCAAACTCTCCACCATGGCCACGACCAAAGAGCTCTCCAAGGATGTCAGGGACAAGATTGTAGACCTACACAAGGCTGGAATGGGCTACAAGATGACAACAGTTGGTGAGATTATTCGCAAATGGAAGAAACACAAAATAACTGTCAATCTCCCTCGGCCTGGGGCTCCATGCAAGATCTCACCTCGTGGAGTTGCAATGATCATGAGAACGGTGAGGAATCAGCCCAGAACTACACGGGAGGATCTTGTCAATGATCTCAAGGCAGCTGGGACCATAGTCACCAAGAAAACAATTGGTAACACACTATGCCGTGAAGGACTGAAATCCTGCAGCGCCCGCAAGGTCCCCCTGCTCAAGAAAGCACATATACAGGGCCGTCTGAAGTTTGCCAATGAACATCTGAATGATTCAGAGGAGAACTGGGTGAAAGTGTTGTGGTCAGATGAGACCAAAATTGAGCTCTTTGGCATCAACTCAACTCGTCGTGTTTGGAGGAGGAGGAATGCTGCCTATGACCCCAAGAACACCATCCCCACCATCAAACATGGAGGTGGAAACATTATGCTTTGGGGGTGTTTTTCTGCTAAGGGGACAGGACAACTTCACCGCATCAAAGGGACGATGGACGGGGCCATGTACCGTCAAATCTTGGGTGAGAACCTTCTTCCCTCAGCCAGGGCATTGAAAATGGGTCGTGGATGGGTATTCCAGCATGACAATGACCCAAAACACACGGCCAAGGCAACAAAGGAGTGGCTCAAGAAGAAGCACATTAAGGACCTGGAGTGGCCTAGCCAGTCTCCAGACCTTAATCCCATAGAAAATCTGTGGAGGGAGCTGAAGGTTCGAGTTGCCAAACGTCAGCCTCGAAACCTTAATGACTTGGAGAAGATTTGCAAAGAGGAGTGGAACAAAGTCCCTCCTGAGATGTGTGCAAACCTGGTGGCCAACTACAAGGAACATCTGACCTCTGTGATTGCCAAAAAGGTTTTTGCCACCAAGTACTAAGTCATGTTTTGCAGAGGGGTCAAATACTTATTTCCCTCATTAAAATGCAAATCAATTTATAACATTTTTGACATGCGTTTTTTCTGGATTTTTTAAATGTATTCTGTCTCTCACTGTTCAATGAAACCTACCATTAAAATGATAGACTGATCATGTCTTTGTCAGTGGGCAAACGTACAAAATCAGCAGGGGATCAAATACTTTTTTCCCTCACTGTACAACCACATACAACCACATACAACCACAACTCTTGGGCTCTCGAGTGGCGCAGCGGTCTAAGGCACTGCATCTCAGTGCTTGAGGCGTCACTACAGACCCCCTGGTTCAATTCCTGGCTTTATCACAACTGGCCGTGATTGGGAGTCCCATAGGGCAGCGCACAATTGGCCCAGGTTTGGCCGGTGTAGGCCGTCATTGTAAATAAGAATTTGTTCTTAACTGACTTGCCTAGTTAAATAAAGGTTAAATAAAAAAAAATACCACAAATGCCCCACTCTCTCTACTCCTCAGGGCATTGGCTATTAATACAAAGTGTGATTGCATTGCACTTTCTTCACTAGCCAGACATCAATCCCTTTTTCTCTGGACATGCCACACACACACAACCTCTCACCAATAACCACTTAAAACCTTTTTTTTTTTAACGATTGTATTTATTTTCAAACAATACAAAGCACACACATACAAACGGCAACAATGCACACAAACATCCAGGACATCCCCTCTGCCCAGACCCACATGCTCCCCCCCCCCCACATGGCCTCAAACTGCACCATTTAGTTTCCCTTCATCGCCAACGCATTTCCAATATTTAGATAATAAAGTGTTTGACCTTTCCATTGTGTTAACGATGGAGGATAGGTTGATTTCCAGTTTTTAAGTATACGTTTTTTTAAAGATGATTGACGAGAAAAGTATCGTCCAACCAATCGGGTATCTCATTGCACCCTCATATGCCATGTCTTGACATATTCAGACAGATGGATTAAAAGTACATTTACATTGTAATACTTCTGACAGGCAACTTTCTAACTCTGCCTGTAACTTTTGGACTTTATAGCATTCCCAGAAGGAATGGATTATTGAGTAATTGTTAGTTTTACACTTAAGACATGACTCTGCCGTTGTGCTGTAGAATTTGTGAATTTTGTCTCTTGTGTAATAAATTCGATACATTAGTTTATACTGGATTAAGCGTACATTTTCGTTAACTGTAATTTCGTTAGTTATGTTCTAACATTCCCTCCATCTTGTGCCAATATCAGTTATTTTTAAGTCTTGGTTCCAGTGGTT